TTCTGAACTACTTTTAGTTTAGTGTTAGTATTTTGCTTTTAGCCAACGTTTTGCTACTTTACACTAGCTTCTTGCGACTTTTAGCTTTTATGTAGCCTTTTGTTATGTTTAGCTTCTAGCTTCATTTTAACTACTTTATCTTATAGTTAGTCTTTTGCTACTTTTAGCTTTCAGCTCACTTTTCATTACTTTCAGTTAGTTGTTTTTTTTATATACTTTCTAGCTACAGTATATCCTTATGCCACGTTTAGCTAGCTTTTAAACACTTTGAGCTTTACGCTTGCCTTTTAGTTCTTTTAGCCAATACTTTGTTGCTTTAAGTTAACATGGCTAACATTTAACTACTGTTAACGTTTACTAGATTTCTGGTACTTTTAGGTTGCCTTTACTTAATTAGTTTAGCGTTTTGCTAACATTTACTAGACTTTTTGCTATGTTTAGATTCTACTGAACTTGCAAATTTTTTCTTTGATATGTTTTGCAAATTTAAGCCAAAGTTTTTCTCTGTTTAGCCTTTAGCTCATTTTCAGCTTCTTCGACAGATTTCAGCCGTCATTCGGCGTTCAGACTGTTTTCTCAGAAAGTCATTTTTCTTGTTGTTTTTCAGATTTTTTTAAAAGTTGCAACAGTAAATGAGGCGAATTAAAGTCGGGCGTTTTGAATTTAGATGCAGTAAATGTTGAGATATAACAAAATTAAACCCTGACTCCTATCAGACACACAATCGACTCATATCTGTCCTCATCAATATTTATACATTCATCAATATTCTAGTGTGTTGTTATTACAGCGTGGAGACGGGGTGTGTGATGGACATCAGCTCACAACACACAGTCTTTAGCTCATTACACCTACCCTGATTAATTATAATCAGTAATCTCAGATAAACTTTGACTTTTCTATTTATTTATTCCATTTGGCTTGGTAATGAATCAATTTATTTGGGTTTCAAAGTAAACTAAGACTCTCCACCTCCTCACACGGTGGTAAAAAGACAGTATTATCATCGCTGGAGGACAGACACATCCAATAAACAGACCTGGTTCAAAACAAACAAGTTTAATGCATACTGATTCTGCTCACAATATGGCTTCTCTTTCAAACTATAAGAAGTCAAAAGATCCGGGCTTGAAATATTGTTTATTTCTGAAGATAAGATTTGAAATGCAAAGTGGGCTCCTTTCTTTCTTTAGGAACACTAAGCTGCTGATAGAAAGCGTCTGAAAGATAAGAGGTTTTATTCTTGGTTTTCATTAGTCAACAGATTTACGAACAATAAAATAAAAGCAAATTTAATTTGATTAAAAATAAAAACTCTAGTTCTTTTTTTGTATTTACTTAAAGTGAGATTATAGATTTTATTTTCCGTTACAGAATAACTTTAAAAGTTGTTGACTAATTCCGCCCTCGGGGGGGCGTGTCCTAACTCTCCGTCCAATGACATATTTTGTTCAAATTCAAATGTGAAGTAAAAATGTGGGCGGTGCTTCAATCTGACCAATCAGCAGAGAGGGATTTGCCATTAAAGATGGCTGGGTTCAGTTTACTAAAAAGGAAAAGCTCCATCGAATAAACTTTTTGAACTGGGACCAAACTTCAGCAGATGTCAGCTCTAATCATGAAAAAAATCTCTCCTTGACTTTTAGACTAACATCAGCAAACATTAGCTTTAAAAATCTATAAACAAATCATTCCAGAGCCGTGACTCGGACAGTTAAAACACAGAAAACTAGGCTTTTATTTTATCTCACTGACCAGACAAGCAAATGAGTGATGTTTAACCTAAAGGTGGTTTGTTTCACCAAATAATAAAAATACAAAACTGGTTAAATGAACTGAGTTTATGGAGCATTTCTCACCCAACAGGATACTAAAAAGAGCTTTCTATTACAACCCAATCAGTGCCCTCACTGAACCGTCACACATCGCTCTGCTACATTTTTATACAAATATTCTGAATATATCATTCTGGAAAGTCTTTACGTTTATCATGTAAATGAGAAAACTATGGGGATTTGAAAATTAAGGAAGTACCAACTGACGTCGCTCAGCTTGTTCCAGATTACTGATGACACAGAGGCCAGAACAGAGAAACATCTGGAAATCCACGTGTTCTGGCTCTTTATACACATAGAATGCTGTAAATAACTTTACACGAAGCTTTTTGTCTTTACCTTAAAAAGATAATCAAATGTACACCTGTCGTTTGAGCAAAACATTTACCAGAAACGAGCTTTCTCACATTTAAAGCCACCATTTCTTCTAATTATCAAAAATACTTTATTTGAATGTTGCTTTCTGTGATTACAAATAATTTATTATAAATGTCTTGAAACTGCGACTAAAAAGACAAAAAAAAATGCACAATTATAAACCATGTTAATTTTGCTACCACATTATAACAAAATATTCCTTTAGTTTCTTTTTAGACCATATTAGTTTCAGAAAATCTCGCTACTCAACTTACTGAAGCGAAATTTATATTTATTTGATAAACATTGTGCATTTCCCCTCCTGAGACCCTGCATCCTGATGATGAGGACATTGGTTTTAAACCTGTAAACCTTATTCAGGATTTTAAGTGTTATTTTTATAACAAATATATATTTATATTTTTAAATCTTAATTGCCCCAAAACAGTTTGTTTTCATGTCGATGTTATCCTAAATAGCTAGGGGAAATTCAAAATGCACACCAAGCAAAAGCTTGGGACTCAGGAGGATAAAACTGATAAGCCTTCTTTTAAAGAATGCAAGTTTTTAATTTTTTTTATTGCATTTTGTCTCCATTTTACAGATCCTCTCATCAAAATATTGCACAAACATAACCATTTAATTGTCAGCAGGTTATCACGTTATTACCAAACTCTACAAGTAAAATAACAAATTTATCTTCTAGTTATCGTTACTTTTATTCCCCCATTCAAACTCTTGGTTTTGGGCTCTTTTTTATGGTTTTGCTCAGTGTTGTTGTGAGGTATTTACATAGTTATTAGTTGGTAGCAACATGTTTATTACATGTTTATGGTCACACTGTTATGATCGTAATACTGAGCTGTAATCTGAAGGTTTGTTTTTGATTTAAAATAAAGTTTATGTGTTTGTTGCTCACTGTTTGACAATCTGCTGGTGGGTTTTATTTTATTATTTTGTTTCAGCGAGTCCAATCTTGGCTGATATCCAGTGGACCAAGATAAAGACACTGTCCACATCAGCGCTCACAGTATCTTTACTCTGCAGAATCTCTTATGACTGTCAGAGCTGGCAAACTACTGGCTACTTTAAAAGCCATTAAACACTCCACTGCCTCAGGAAAGGATTCACTTTTTGTTGCTTCTTTTCTAGTTTTTTTTTTTATCCTCAGAAGGATTTTTACTTTCGGCCTGTAGTTTTGGAGAGGATCCTCTCCTCTGAGTCCAAACCAGGCCGTTTCGACATCATTCAATAAGAGTGAACGTCTGTTTTATCAGTTACTGTCATTTAAATCTAATTATTAATTTACAACAGATCTAATAACTCAGGTCAATAACAGAAAACATAAAAACTGTGTCTCTTTCTTTGAAGGTCACCAATCAAATACATCTGAAAACATACCGAGTAGTTCAGCTCTTTTAAAGTGGGGTTCTGTAAAAAGGAACCATAAATATCTTACCTGCTGCAGATAGCTCTTTTGGAGTTTAACACTGTCCAGATTGATAAGCAAACAGGTTGTTTTGTTTTTAAACAAATCCAGACTCAAAATAAACCATCAATTTATACGTTGCATCCAAAAACATGGGAAGCAGGGGCGCTGAGGGCGCTGAAGCACCTTCTGATGAATGCAGGAGGACATGCATGTTCAGAAACGCAGTTTATTAAGAAATAGAACTGTAATAGGAAAAACAAATGTAATTACTGCTGTTCACACTAAAAACTGTTGAGTCAACAACAACCTAATTTGTAACCCGGCGCTGCGTCAAATTTGGACCGAGTCAATTTTGGGTAGTGATCAGTTCGACCCAACAAACCAAGTGTTTATGGAAAATTAGGATACACTGACCAACCCAAAATCTGAGTTTTTACATAATTATAACTTGGGTTGGAGCTAGCTACCTGGCGCTAAACACTATTAACACTAGGTAGCTAGCACAAACTAATGTTATCCTAAAAACCCAAACCCACAAGCTTTTATTAGTTTTATATTTTATTTATGTCCTGTACAGCACTGTTACAATCTAGGATTGTTAAGAAATGTATTAGTCAAGAAATGGAATTTTTTTTTGTTTTTTAATCTTTAGATAAAATTAAAATTAGATCATAAAACACGGACTTACCCAAAAAAATGATTGTCTGTTTTCTTGCCGTCTTGACCACTGCACTTTCGTGCTTGGCGGGTTTTTTGACCCCGTTGACGCCTTTATCCAGGGATCCCAAGGGTTTCCGCAGAACCAGGATCATCGCCCGGCACATGAAGGCCACGCAGACCAACACGATCATGTAGACGATGAACGCCACGAAGATGCTGACCCTGTACATCACCCAGTGCTCCCTTAGATTGGTGCAGAAGGTCAGATTCTGAACCGGGCGGTTTTCCCGGGTTGGTATGTATCCCTGTGTTCCAGTGGAAAACAGCAGAGGCAGGGCCACCAGAACGGACACCGCCCAGGCGAAGGCGATGAGGGCGGAGGTTCGTCTTTCGCTCAGGGTTTTATAGTGGAAAGGGTGGCAGATGGCGACGTAGCGCTCAAAGCTGAGCGTGGCCACATTGAGGATGGTGGCGTAGCTGCAAAGCTCGAACAGGAACTTGTAAATCTTGCAGGAAGCGTCACCAGATGCGGCGGTGAAGGGGAACCAGATGGCGCTGTAGAGCTCCACAGGCATGCCGATGAGGAGCACCAACAGGTCGGAGCTTGCCAGGCTGACCATGTGGTCCGTCACATTCTTCTGAAGGTAGCCCTTGTGCCTCAGCACCTGCGTCACTCTGATGGTGACTGAATTACCCACAATACCCGTCACCAGCATGACGCTGTAGAGGATCGTCATGAAAATTTTGACTGGATAGTTGGGTTCAAGTTCATGCCAGTCCATGATTCCACCTGGATTATTTCCTCCGGTCATGGTTACAGAGTGGTGAGTCAAGATTTTTCCAGGTACGAGTTATCTTATCAGTTCTGAGCACAGACTCTCTGATCTGAGCCAAAGGAGACCTTTTCTTTACAAACTAAAACTTCCCTTTGGATTAAATCACCCCCGATTCTCCAGGGACTGTAAATCTCAGTATGTGACCAACAGAGAAGTTATCACTCTTTAGAGAATCTTCTGTACTTTCCTTTTGGTTTTTCATACTCACTGATCTAAAAGCTGAAGTGTTTCACGCCAAATCCTAATCCGTCAATCCCACTGTGGATGAATCTGTAAGGGAATCCTCAGAAGTCCTGGTGGACCTTCAGCTGGTTTCACCTCTGTGTGAGCAAAGTGTTAGCCAACGTTTAGCTACGACAGATATCCTCCTCCCTCCGGTGAGGGCTGGGTTGTTAAACATTAAACAGCGAGCTCAGGCAGAGGTTTCGGGTCTTATCAGCGTTAATGGGCCGTCTGTTTACACTGACATTTTTACTTCATGCTTCATTGGAGATTACAGCTTAACGTTTGCAAATGAGAAGAATAAAGTTTGAGGGGTGTTCTTTTGGGACTAGTTAAAGCTAAAAGTTAAGAACAAACTCAAGAGTTCACGAAAGAGCAAAACTGCAGTAAAAATGTGTCCATTTGGTTCCAGCCAACACTGTATGCAGGGCTCAGTGTTCACTTGTATTTCTTTGACTGGCTGACCCAAATGGATCCCGATGTTTTCTCATCAGCTCAAGTAGAACCAACAAAATAACCCAACAGATTCTAGAGTGTAGAAGTTCAGAGAGTATCATTATTGACGTGCATTAATTGTGCAAAACGTCACCCTTTTCTCACAAATTTCTGAGGACAGTTGTTTTAAATAAATGACATTGTTTGAATTTCTAAAACTTTAGCCCCGCCCACAAGATTCGTTATTACGCACAATAACTCAAAAAACGTTGTAAACACAAAACGGAGTTTTTTTGCGTTCACGCTGCTGTTTTCTTGGATTTAATTTTCCAGTAAGATTTTTTTGCAATCTGATTTTCATTGCGTACTTTGTGCCACTTCAGCTGATGGGTCCTGTGACTTTTGTTTTTTGGAACTTTTATACTGTTCAAAATATTAACTCTATTTGCAAAGGTTTTTCATCTTGAAATACATATTTTCAGTTTGTTTGAAATCTTCAGCTAATTCTTGTTTTCTTATACTTTTAGTTTCAGCTGCATTTCACTAGCCTTTTGCTTTTAACTAGCTTTGCCTATTTTAGCTACCTTTCATTACTATTAGCTTTTAGCCCACCTTTTGCCAGTTTATCTTCTAACCGGCATTTTTCTATTAACTACATTTAGCTTTTAGCTACATTTTATGCTAGCCTTTTGATACTCGTTTCATTTAGCTACTTTAGCTTTAGATAACATTTTGCTTCCTTTAGCTAGTCTTTTGCTACTTTAGCTTTAGGTAACTTTTTGCTGCCTTTAGTTAGCTTTTTATACTTTTAAGCTTTTAGCTAAGGTTTGGCTACTTTTAGTTTGTACGCTAGCATTTTGATCATTTTGACTGGCTTATACAACAAATTACTTTTAGCTATCATTTTGCTACATTACATTTAATTGGACTTTTGTTTCTTTTAGCTAGCCATTTGCTACTTTAGCTTTAAATAACATTTTGCTGCTTTTAGCTAGCCCTTTTTAAGCCGAAAAAGCAAAATATTTTAAAAAAAAGTTAAAATTGAACCATTACGATGGTCACAGCAGGAATGACCTGAATGAATTGAACGTTTTGAGATACGAACTGTTGAAATGGCACAAAAACTGTGTAACGAGTTACGTGCTGAAAAACTTACGGAAGAAAAACAGCGAGCACGATCGAGAAACATTCCCACCATGATGCATTTAGTGAATCCACTTCGTCTCCTCAACTCCTCTGAAAACATCTAGTTCAGAATAAAAACAGCTTTTAGCACGACGTTTTAGAAAGATACGTTTTATTGGTGCTTCGAAGTACGAAAACAGATTCAAAACTTTATTCAAGAGCTGCTTGATAAAGGACAGTTACCATCAAACCGAGCCTTTTATAGTTTTACACCTTCATCATTGACACACAAAGACAAAAAAAAAAGTGCTCAGACAACAAAAACAAGACAAAGAACCTGAGAAAGAAAATAATCATAAACATGGCTCCACAAGCACCATTTATAGAAGATAAAAATCTTTAGGAAAATAGGAGAACAGCCTGAAAATACGTTTTCTCAACTAAATCTTCACAGACGAACGGACAGATTGGCAAAACAGTAAGTGCAACATTTTATTTAGCGCTCATTTTGTATCCATCTTCTGCGTCACGCGGTCAGTTAACCAGAAGTGCAATAAAACCGGACGGGGCAGCATTTCGCCTCCTCCTGTAGTGTTCGACACGACGCTCGGGCTGCACGGAGCGGCGCTTCGAGTCGTCGTTAAATCATAAAACCAGCAAATCCACGCTTTCTCGTTGCAACGGTGTCGCGTCAGCTCGTGTTGTCAGGCTCTGCAAAAACCCGCGGCGGTCACGAACCACCGACGACACGTTTAGTCGTTTTTAAAAGACCAGTACGAGCAGATTCTGGAGGCACATTGCAGCTGAAGGCTTTTCATCCCGTTTGACCAAAGTTCTGCTCAGAACCGACCAGAGGAACCAAGAACAAGGTTTCCTCTTCACGCCCGACCCAACGGTTTGTTTTGGAAGAGGACCGGTCCCAGGTGCAGCGTCAGGGATCCGGGGCCTTTAAAGATTTGTCTGAGCCGCTCTTTTCCCAGGCGGACTGGTTCCACAACGAACACCTTTAATGAGTTTTTTTAAAAACAAGATTTAGTTTGAATTTTCTCTGAACCACACAGGGTCAAATATATCCATACAGTCACCTGAATCTGTCGACACGTGGAGCTGAAGTTTCTAGAAGGTCTTCAGACTCAACAAGGACCAAAAGCCTTTGTTAGCGATCACGACTGACTGCAGCTGGTGGTTTGTCCACATCGAAAGGATTTGTCTGACAGAAGATCTGAGACCCAGATGAAAAGAAACTGGTTCTGATGCTCAACAACAACCTAGGAGCCACCGAGGCTGAAGCCCGCCATGAACCTGCTGGACCACCAGTGTACCTGTTCACAATGAAGACTGAGAGGACCAAGAAAGAAGCTCCCGAACCTTCAAGCTGGACCGAAACCTGCAGCTGTCCTCATGGATAGGACAAACGTCTTCTGGAGGAAAGTTAGACGAGACAAAGACCGAGACAAAAAGGACGTTTGGGGGAGTCAAAGTGAGACCTTAGGACCTAAAGACGCTGAACCAGCTGTCAGGCATGGTGGTGGTAACATCATGGTTGGGTACAAAGTGAGGAGGACTACCTCCAAGTTCTTCAGCTTCACCTCAAACCAACAGCAGGAAGGGTGAAACCTGGACACAGCTGAGTCCAAGAGGACAATGGTCCCAAACACACACCAGAACTGGATTTTGATCGGATCAATCAGGCTGACATTACTGCCTGACTGAAAATGTGTGGATTCGGATTAAAAGCCATGTCTGAAACCAGGAACCCATGAAGAAGAGCAGTCCAGTACCAGCCAGAGGTCTGCCAGAACCTTCTTGATGGAAACAAAAAGCCTGAGGTCCTGGTGAGACTCACTTTAAACAGATATTATTGGTGGATGGACGTATTTGAGCCTGTGCGGATCAGAGTGGGACGGAGTTCTGCCTAAAACTGGTTTTAGATTTAGAGATATTAAACTTAATCCAAGCAGATTACAGATTAAACACCAACCATATTTGGAAACCTAAATGCTTCCTTCTGAAGTCCGACTTCCTGTCATTAAGTCCATCTACTTAGAGTGACTCAGCAGAAAAGTCGCTGGTTTTAAACCAGAGCAGCCTCTAGAAGTCTACAGTTCTGGTTTTGAAGAATTAGTCCTCCCACACGTTACAGTCAGAACCAGAACCCCCGACAACGAAGTAAAGACGAAAGCCAGGCAGCGTGCGGCGTACCGTTCCTTTACGGAGACAAATGAAACCGAGCAGCAGAAAAACAAAATAAAATCACATTAAATAAAGATTTTGTGTTTGTGAGGAGGAAGTGTTGTAAATAAATTAAAGTAAGCGGAGGCACTCGGGTGGATTCTACGTCTCTGGAAGCTTCCAGATTATCGGCTCGCCGTCGATCGCCTGCAGAAGGAAAAACACATCAAGAGAGACTTTTTTAAAATTAGACATAAAAGTGTTTACTTGCATGATTTAAATCCTTAAAGTTGAGCTCCGATTTATTTTATTCTCACCTGACAAAAATCTTGAAGCTCAAACCTCGTCACTCCAGACGCGCCATTAAAATCCTAATTTCAGCGACATACATTTATTAAACGATATTTATTCAGAACTGTGCCTCAAGAGGAAGAAAAGGTGTTTTTTCTACACAATATCAAACGTTGTTATTAATGCTATTGTTATTATTACCCGTAATAATATTATTTTATTATTATTTTTTTATTAATGCTGTACTTGTATTATTATCACCATCATTATTATTATAAATAATAATAAGATAGTTGTAATATCAATATTATTAATGTTGGTGTTGTTTTTATATTATAATTGTTGCTATTAAGATTATTTATTGTTATTATTAAATTTAATTTTATTGTCATTAATATTACAGCTATTCTCATAACTTATTATTCTAATAAAAATAATAATAATAATGATAATAATAATGTTTTTGTTAATTTTGATATTCTTATTTTTATTGCTGTTATTATTAAATTTATTTTTATTGTTTATACTATTAATATTATTATTGTTTTTGATATTCTTCCTATTACTGTTGTTAACTTTATTGTCATTATTAGTATTTTAATTTTTTTAAAGATTATTATTGTTGGTATTATTAGCGTTGTGTATTTTATTAATGTAATTATTGTTTTTAAATTTATTATTATTACGTATAAAAGGCGTCTCTACGTCTAATGATTTAGTGTTCCTGACTTGCTTCCTCAGGTTATCAGATGAACTAAGTGGACTCCATGATCTCCTGCTGCCATGAAAGGTGGGTGATCATGTACCTGCCTGTCTGTTAGCAAAATATCTCATGAACCAGTGAACCAATGTTTTTAGAACTTTGAGAAAGCGTCGTTTATCGAACACCTTTAACTCGTTTACTTTTTATGGTCAACCCAATTCAAGATGGCCGCCACAGCGATTCAACCTCAGCAACACAATAAAACCTAAACTTCAGAACATTTTACAGATTTTGAGCAGAGCAGAGAGTTAACCTCTACGGACACACTGAGCCCTGAGAGAAGATTGTTAAAAACTTGGCGGGTGGAGTCCAGGTCTGACCGAGGTCAGAGTCCGACCCACATCAGGAGGTCTGAGGATCTGCGCCGCCACTTACGTGCAATCGGACCTCCGGATCACGAGCAGAAGCTTCCTTCATGAGGGGACACCGTGTTCAGAGGAATGAGGCTTTCACTCTGCTCGCTGTCTTCTGACAGTCTGAAACAAAGAGACGGAGGCGTCGATCAGCGTCATCACACCCGCCATCTTGACAAAGACGGTTACTATGATCATCCACGGCGCCCAGAGACGTTCCGAGTCCAACACCTGAGGGAGAGCGCAGAAGTGACGAGGCACCAAGCATCACAGCGACGCTCGGCGCGTGAACCAGTTTAAACAAGCGGCACGCCGATGTCCCCGTCGCTGAGGTTCAAACAGTTTGTAGTTCTGGAGACGAGTGTTTTTCTGGACAGAGAGTGAAGTGAACCTTAATGTTTTTGGTGAAAAATATTCAAGTGGGCAGGAGCTACACTGTGGAGAAGAACAGAGGGAGGTGTTTCATTTATTTGAGGTGGCGCAGTGACGGATCCTGGCGAGCGGAGGGAGACATTTTATCCACCACCAAGTGCAGTGGTGGAGCCAGGGGGTGGCCAATGGTGGCCACCACAGATTAATCTTCAGCCACAGCAATCATTTGGGGAAACAATACTTTTCAGCAACATAAAAACTAGAAAGCACAGGATTGGAGTGGCCAATTTAAAAAATCACTATTCGCGGTTCGTTTATCCCGGACTCACTCTATCGTGGTTTTTCAAAATAAAACTGGACATGACACACAGTTGTTTGAATGATGGCTGAGCCGCACCATCGGCATGGAATTTTTATTAAAATTAATTATTTTAAATCATTTAGCACCTGCTGCACATTTGTGCAGCCCATACTGCACGATAAACTTCCTGCTGCAGCAGATCAGCTGATCTCAGGGCAGAGCGTAAAAGTGGGCGTGGCCAAGAGAGCTTGCAAGTGGCTGAGAGCAGCGGACACAGAGTGAGGGAAATCATGACAATCTGTGCTCTTCTAGAGCATTTACAGTTTAGAAACATTGTTTATAATATTGCAAGCGTGTGGGAAGAGTTTAAAACACCTTTACACATATATACCTGTATATATATATATATATACCTGTATATATATATATATATATATATATATATATATATATATATATATAAACTACTACTTATTACTTGTACTAGTATTCCTACTTCATGGTTTTTCACTTATCGGCTTCAGGGTACGGATCCCCCGCGTTAAACGAGGGACTACTGTTTAGGGTGGTGGCCATCTTGGATTTGGACGTGCCTACCTAATTTTTGATAATGACCTTTCTAACACCTAGATGCAGCCACACACTAAAGGGCACGTTGGGACTAAATGCATGTTGTTTATTTTTGAAGTTATCTAGCTCATAGGAGTTACTTATGTATTTTTATTTTGATGTGGCAACCCAATTTTTAAAAGGAACCTCTCTTATGTCTAGACGCAGCCACCCACCAATACGGAAGTCAGTACGTCACGTATTTTTCAAAATATCAAAGGTCACATATGCAAGGACAAACGGAGGCATTTCCAATTCCCACTTTGTGCTCAGGGACAAAAAAAGGGCCACACTGATGAAAGATTTTTTACCAGCTCACTTCCTGCAGTGGCGTCAGTGTGTGTGTGTTAAACACTAAACACGTGGGTGTGTTTCTTTATGCAGCTGCATCACAAAAACCATAGAAACGTAATTTCACCAGAACACGACCCGTCAGTGACTAATAATAATAATGACTTCTGCTCAGGCACTGAAGCAGGGACTGAACAGCGCGGCTTGGTTTTTTTAAATCTCTGACATTTATCGTTGTCTGGTTTGCAGCTGAACGTTCTGGATTTGCCAACATAAAAATAAAATAATTTAAAAAAAACAAAGTGAAGAAACAACAGCATCGTCTTCACATTTCTACCACAAACGGTCTGAATCTGCAGACGGGTTTAGAGCCGACTGACAGAAACCATCAGTGTTGGACACTTGTTGGCACCATCAGGGCCTTCAACCCCTTCAGGGAAGGCCCAAGAATTCAGCACATATAAAATGTTACGTTTGAATTTTTGTTCTTTATTTTACACAAAATATATATTTTCATTGTTTATATATATTATATATATATATATATATATATATATATATATATATATATATATATATAAAATTTG